TTCAACTGAGCAATCTTGCTTTCATAAAATATACCAACATTTTAATGACTGATGATTAACATGGTGTAATACAAAGTTCAAATCTAAAAGCTCAAATTCTGTACATGAGAGGTTAAGCTTTATTGGCTCCCTCTGGCGGTTTTACAAGGTGATGCCAGATACTTTCCAGCATGACGTCAAATGACGCGATTTACCCCGTGATACTGCGTGATACCGCAACACGCCCACCGGGGTATACCGCAAAATACCCCACCCATTTTGAATGGCTGCATCTGTACCTTGCAATCTTGCTGAAAGATGTATAATAAGCTTAGAAATTATAAACAAATATCAAAAAATAATATCAGTCACCACCATAGACATACTGTATACACCTTAAATCATCAGAACAACTAGATATAGTTCCCTGGGTGTCTCCAGAAAAGATTGCTGAAAAGTGACAGTAACAACCCTTCTTTTGTTAAAACTAACTCGAACACATGGAGATTTGAACACGCCTGTCATCTTTCTGCTGTGTCCTGATGTGTTTCATTGTCTCAGTCAAAATGTGGTTTCTCAAGGCAAGACCCATCTTCTTAAGCAATGTATTCCACTCTGAAATATTTTTTTTTCATGTTTCAAAACAATTTTCCTTCTGCCTGTTTCTTTCCTAAACGGGGCTCTCAACAACTAAGTCTAATAACCACTTATTTATATGAGAGAGGGGCACAGGCCCCAGCAAAAATCAATTATCAACAAAAAAATAGACTCACTCCCTGCACCAAAAACATCTGAACGTGACAATGCCAAAATGATAAAAATCAAGACATTTTTTATGTAATCATTACTGGCAGTCAATTAAAAGCATGCTTAGTAGTTCACTAAAATGATCAAAGACAATAACATACTCTAAGAGCTGTGCAAGTGTTCTTAAATTAAAAAAAATACTGACGTGCTTTCTTAAATTACTTTGTAAGTGTTCATGTGACAAAAAATTTGATTAAACAGTATACTGGTATATAGAAAAGGGAACGTAAGGACCCATAACATTAATATTCATTGTATAGAAAATCATAGTAAGACCAATAAAGTGTAATTCTGAGGTAACTGCTATTAATATCAACAGTCTATTTGTGGTCTATAAAGACATAACAGTGTATTTTGAAGTGGAGAATTTGTGTTATGGCTACATAATCTTGCTGTACACTGTTTGTGGGCAAGTTGTTAAAAATTGTTTAAAAAATGTTTAAAAAGGTACTGAACACATCATGAATACTTTATGTTATGTTTGGGCTTCGTTTTGACGTCGATAGATTGTTGAAGTGTGCAAAATATCGTAAAAGAATATTGGAATTTTAAAGTTGAGTGTATATATGAGAAAAATGTTTAAAAAAGATAAAAAAAAAGAAACAGTCAATTGAGAACAGTGACTGAAACAAAGTAAATCCCACAGTTTGGTTTTGTGATATGAGAAATGAAGTTCCTTCAAGCTGGTTAGAATGATTCAGCACATACACTGTGATAGCGACACATTTCTTCTTGTTGTAGTTCCGTATTTTATTATTCTGAGCTGAAGCCTTGTATTCATAATGGTTATGGAACATTCTAAATATGACAATAATTAGAAAATAATAAGTATATAAATGAGAATAAGCAGACTATATATTGGCAATTTATTAAGGTTAGCACACAAAATTCATTTCAAAGTATGTTTTCTGATTAACCTGGAGTTGCTCTTTACAGAGGTTTGTTCATTTCTGCTCTGAGTCACAGGATCCTTGTCAATAAATTGATTTCTCTCTATAAATACTTTAAGAAAAACTCAAGAAGCTAAGCTAAAATAAATAAAAAGAGGAATTGTATAGGAATTCAACAGATTGTGTTCAGGTACAGTATCTTTAATGATTCTATGTAAGTTTTATAGCTTGTGGTAGTTGCTTTCTTTTCCCTAGAAAAGCCAATGTAATAATTTGTGGCACTGGAATGTCAACTCAGGAACTGAATCTTTCACAGCATTCAGTGTCTAGCATGGTATAAATCTGCTGTGGAGCCTTCTTGTGTATTTATTTTTTATTCATTTTATGATGATAGCCGATGTCAGTGGTAATTACTACACCAGATCTACTTTCATAAAAATGAACAAAACGGCTTCTGTTTGACTTCTCGGGCAGAGATTAATAGCACTGACTGATGGCGATTTTATGGGACAGCAATCTCTATAAAGATTTTTGATAAAATAACGTGTTTTTCTGAAATGAGGCTGACAGTATAAATCTAGAACCATAAAAGTAGGGCATTTGCAGAATGAAAGAGAATCAGATTTTAAATTACACCACAGAATCAACCTCACATAATTCAGGATTTAGAAATATAATGTTGGCTCATTTTGCTAGCATCTTGTTTTGTTTTTTTGTTTTTTTACACTTTATCAGATTATCCTAAAACAACCTGATAACTCTTTACTAAGTTCTGAATGTGTTATTTTTTTGGCTAAGTGAAAAGTGTGTAAAATTATTTTTCAACATGTAAAAAACATAACAATAGTATATAAATCTGTTAGATGCAATGAAGAAGGGGACTTTCAATTGAGGGTACAAATAATACTGAACAGCTTTTCAATTAAAATAGTAGAGAACAATGCATGTTTTAACCTAAACTAAGCCAGGTTTACATTTTAAAAAATCAGGCCAACTCTTATTCATCATATTATTACTTAAGAATAGTCAGTTAAAATGTGAATCAAAAAACAAATGAAAAATGTGTGGTCAAACAATGACAAGTTTATAGCTCGGGTAGGTAGCTGTATAAGCATGTGTAGGCTGCAAAGGAACAAGTAAAAGTTTATTCCATGCTGAAAAGAGAGGAAAAGAAACACAACGATTCGGCTGTGGAGCCTTCTTCGGGCCTTCTTCTTCACACCCAAAGAAGGCTTCAGCATGAAATAAACCTTTACTTGTTCCAATACAGTTATATGTTTAAAGAAAGAAATTGAACATTTTATACCAATGGGTGTGATAAGAAAACAATGTTCCTGTAGGAAAACATGTCCTATTATTTACTATTGATTCTAAAACAAAAAATTGAACTTGACCAAAAATTGAAATCAACACATTTTGGGCTTTTACAATGTCGACTCCTATCAAACACTTATTGACTGGCTTTTTCTGCAACTAAAACTACTTGTTTTAACCATAGTATAATGTTTTTGTCTATTCAATTTATTATTTATACTGATGGAAAAAAGAAACGTAACATTTTCTAGAATGAGAATACTATAGTAATAGCTTATGTACTTTCACAAAAAGGTGTCAATTTGTTTAAAGCCCTCTGACCAGCAATACAGGTTGTGCAGTGAGGCATTGCAACTTGCCAATCACACAAAAGCTCATTAGGTGCACTTTTACCCAACGAGGTCCAAGTTGAACAATGCCTGATCAGGTCACATTTAAAAAGGCCTTGATTCAAAGCTTAGGTCACTGCAAGAAAAAGGCCACACTTAGCCATTCCATAATGCCTCGAATGTCACCAGAAGAAGGGAGAGGGCCATTGGCAGGCATGCATATGCAACCATTGCCAGACACTATTGAGTAAGCTGCTCCACTGTGTCCCGACTGCAGAGAAGGTTTTTAGCAGACTGGCAGGACAGATGACCATCCAAGATCCTGTCGCCCTCGAGTGATCACACCAGAGCAGGACTGACACATCAGACTGCTCCATCCGAGAGATCATTTCAGATCTGCCACCAGTACTGCTGCAGAAACTGCCGCCAGACATAATCCTTGCATCAGTGACAGGAAAGTGAGGCTCCATGCTGCTGGCCTTAGAGCAAGGCAACCTGTCAGAGGCCCTCTGCTCAGACCTCCTAGATGTCACACCCGACTGGCTTGGGCCAGACAGAGGCTGCGATGGACTCGTCAACAGTGGCATCAGGTCTTCTTCACAGATGAGTCACTCTTCAGCCTTTTCCACGCAGGGCCAGAGTGTGGATGAGGAGATGTTACGTTTCTTTTTTCCGCCAGTATATTTTATTCATCTAAACTACGTTTAAATATGCACTACAAATTAGGTTCACAACTTTATTCTGGGGAAATTGGCACCATTATTGTAAACCATTTTTTTAGAGATGTGGGAAAATGCAATCAGGTTATTTTAAATGATTCTTCCAACATCAAAAACTGATCCTTGACATTGAACTTTTTTGAGGGAGCAGATCATGGACCTTAATTCATTTACTTATTCAGTTTGTTTTGAAAATTTGTTACAACCCCAAGTGTCTAGGGGTAAAGGGGTGTAACATTTAGGATAATTCTTTTGGAAGCAGGTATACCTCACCCATACTAAACTAGTGTTACTGACACAAAATCAACTAAGTGTGTAATGTGTACCCAACAACCTAAACTAACCTTATATACAAAAGTTCACACAACAACACAAGTGAACCAGGAATACAAATAAGGGAGAACAAGAGTAATCAACAGGAACAGGGTACAAAAGAACACAAAGGTTGAACATGTAACACGTTAGGGCAAGGTAATGGCAAAACAAGGATAAACACAAACAAACGAACAAAAACCAACAAAGCCAAAGCTATACGAAAATACACACACACACAAAGCAAACCAAAACAAACCAACGAATCCGAAGCAATAATCAAAAGCGAAGCAATAACCAAAACCAAACGGGACCGAAGTCAAACGAAAGGCCCTTTCCTTGAGTAAACCTCCATGTTATCTGCTGAATAAGATGTGTTCTGATTGGCTGATAGCTAATTGATGATGACATCAGACTGAAACAGTGGTGTGATGGCGGGCCAATGGGGGAGGGAGGACAATCAAGGGTCAGCAGTGTGGAACATAAAAAAAAACACACACAGACCACACACTGGGACATAACAACATTGTTTTGAACATTTTTTGTAAATGGTATTATAATGCATTCTTATTTAAAATAATATTTTCATATCAGCATGTGTAATGAGTGCTTTGTATTTTATTATGGCAATTGATGTCTTTTTCCCTCAGGACTGGGTGTGTACACTCCTCACACCTTTGTACTGACAGCCTGCACCATCGCTGGCTGCTCCAACAGCTCCCAGGTCACCCTATTCACAGGGCAGTTGCCACCAACCCATGTGGATGAGCCCATTCTCACTGTTCTGGACTCCCGGGGCATACATGTGCGGTGAGTCTTTGCCGAACTCCAGGCAACTTACATACAGAATGTATAAAAATCCACAGAAGTAAAGTCAGTTACTTTGGAAGAAGTTGACAGAAAATGTGAATAATGTGATTAAAAGACATCAAGCTGATTAGTTGTACAGAATTTGGTAACCTGGCATTAGATTTTTCTTCAAGCTAAAAAGTATATACTCCACCCTCATTAAAGCACTGTCCTTGGGACGTCATGGTCCTTCTGTGTGCTATAACGAGTCATTTGGTATAATGAAGGTGGTTTTGCTCAGCTTTTATAATTTATTTGATCAAAGTCTCATAATGAGGCAGAGGACATACTGTAGGTTTTATGTTGACACCTTTGTTTCAATTCCACAGGTATTCAGATCTTTCCATTGTCATTTCTGTGCAGTTTAATTATAGACATGGTTTAGTCAGGAATACACTGATGGGGAACTGATATTTTTTTTGTGATTTGTCACTTAATATCTAGATTATTTTATTAGAATACGTGATTGCAATTATTCTAATTACTGCAGCCCACATCAATGTCATAGGTCTAGACAAAAAGTAAGGAACACACAAACCTTGGACAAAATAGCAGCCACATTGAATTGAACAGAATTTTTTTCGACAATTATTTTGAAATATGATTTAAAAAAATATAACAAAATATTTTAGAAACGAATGTATTGTCTAAAATATATATTTATACTGGGCTATTTGAGAGTCTTTTTGAAAATTTAACGCATTGTGAATGTAGAAATTTGATTAAAATATGTATACTGTATAGTTTCAATATTTTTTGTGTACCAAGTTAAAGTACAAAAAAGTTAAAACAACATAACACTTTCAAAACAAATGTTTCTGTGACAAATTTATATTGATCGACAATTAAAATGCACCAGGTTTCAATATTTTTGTCCACATAATATCACATCAGCAAGTAGTGTAGTACCTTGATTAAAACTGCACTATAAATTCATTTAAAAAAAAAATTAATACACAACATGGAAGGAAATATGAAGATATTATTCCATAACATGCTCCTAATAGAATACCAGAGTACCACCATACATAATTAGCAACAATTGAATATTATATTCTTACAATATATTAATTATAACACAGTTCTTGGATTAAGGCCTTCAGTGACACACTGTTTATGCACAATGTACACATAATTCAAATTTTGAGCTTAATTTAAACACAGCAGTACACAACACAACTGAAAAAATAAAATAATAATCCTCAAACCTAAACAGATTGCTAAGAAAACAGTTTCTTAAAGCAATCTGAAGTATACTGGTGCTCTCTCAAATCTTTTTTGTTTGCTGTATTTGGCTGTATAATAATAATGACTTTCTCTACTCTCACCATTAATAAAACAATATTAATAAGGTACTGTATTAAAATAAGTATTTTAAAAAAGAGACAAGACCCTTGGGCAAAGAGCCCTCTCATTAGGGATGTGATTAGGGCTAAATTGTATTGGTTATCTAACATATATTAAATTATAATGTGTTGAGCTATTTTGATGATGTTCACTGTATCAGATTTAGTAAAAGCAAATCCAATCTGCTTGCTGTGTAATACATGTGTTTCTGTCAACATGTAAAATAACCTATTATGTGATTTGAAGGTGCATCACACATTTTTTTTCTTTTTTAATTTACAAAGTAAATTATTATTGACTGATCCCAACCTACCCACACCAGCTTTCAACCAATTGTGGGCTTGTGCTTGAGACATGTTCTTTATACTCAGCTAGTGACATGTCCCGGGCTTAAACCTGCGACAATTGCAACATAGAGCTCAGCCTATACTTGGGCCTTCGCGCTCTGACTTGGGAGGCCCTAAAAGCATCCAACTTTATAGCTCAGAACGGTGCCCTCTTCAGGTCCGTTCAGAGGTCCAATATACTACCATTTATTATTAATGGAAGAAGGACTACTTTATATCTTAGCACCATGATCATGAAACACTGCAGCAAAACAGTATTTTAAATGTACATTATATCAGAGTTAAGTCACCAGGGGGCAGCATAAAAACACTTCAGAAATAGGGAGAAAATGCAGTAACTAAATGCAGATGAGGTATTGTAATTAGGGGATTGGCATCAGTTGTTGGAAGCTGGTTTTCCCTACATAAGGGTTTAGTGGGTAAACAGAAGTTGTCTACCCATGTTTGGGTTATAATCTCAATGTCAGCAAGAAGCAGAGTCAAAACATAAGTGAAATGAACAATTGAAAAATTAACGAATGTCCCAGATGGGATTTTGAATTCAATACCGAGTCTTGTCACGTGGTGAGAATCTTGATTATTAGGTTATTGAGAGCAGGGGATTATTCTTGTAAAGTAATAGCCTCAGCTGTTGCTTCGTCAGCCTGCTGGTAAGGCAATTAAGATGATAGAGTGGGTCTGGCCAAACAGGATCAACCGAGTTGAGTCGACTGCTACTAATTCATAAGGGATGATAAGTTCATAGGCATGCAAGTGACAGGCTAGTTTCAGGTAAAAAGGTTAGAAGGAACAAAGCTGGTCTGGTTTGCACTAAATCCCAGTTCTAAAATGGGGAGAAATGTGTACAGATCCTCAACACACAGTTAGCAAATAAGGGGAAGCTGTCATAACATCACAGCCATTTAGTATCATTTATGAATTACATTAACTTTCCATACTCAAATAAATATCCCACTTTTGTTGGCATCTTTGTTTCATCACATTCATACAGTCCTCTCTGTCACCAAGAGTCTTTTAAACTAGTATTTGAATTATCTTAAATGAGGAAGAGAATTTCAACCATTTTATTGCCTGACAGTAATGTCACGGAAGTCGGAGGCTAGCCGTGGAGAGACTGGCAGGACAGGAAGACCCTATGCGTAGCGGCAGGGGTTTTTTCTGGGCTTGAGCTATCAGGTGGAGTCGGGGAAAAGAGACGAGAGCCCTCGGGCAGCGGACAAGGGCCGACATGGTGAGGCTAGTCTCACGACATCCGATCCCAATGCCGAGCGAGGAGGATAGGGAGACCCGGAAATATATAGCCCCAGGCATAGACACACCGGAAGAACAAGTAAAGCACAGAGAAACTAGGAACAGGACAGAGAAGGAGCACCCTCGAGATGTAGAGGGCGTGACAAGTAGGATGTGTATGTTGGCTATCTACAGAATTATTTAAGGCAGTGACACATGAACCTAAATGGGACTTCAATACAATTAACTTCAATATAAATTAATTAAAATGTTTTTTTGCTCTAGAGAATTTGATATATTTAAGTAAACCAAACACATAATTTGGCGTAGCCTGTATACGATACACTGTATATATATACTTTTAGCATTTTTGTTTAATGTCATTCTTGTTTTCAGGTTTCAATAATAAAACAAATAACTTCTATTTTTTTTAATATATAACAATCAGTTTATGAATGAGTCAAACCTTATCACATACACAACAGTAACAAAAAATGCACATTTAGCACCAACAACATAAATGTGCACCTAAGATTGAGGACAACATTACCTTTAGATTACTTCAACACATTTCCAGAAAAAGTCTGCCCCAGGCATTTTTGGTGTGGTTGGTCTAATGCATGGCTCCCAAGGGCAGGCACCTCCACTTGTCCTAAGTGATTGCACTGGGTTTGTCTCCAGGAAGCGACCAATGAAAGCTTTCTCTTGCTGAACTATAGCAGTCTTCCAGTCTTGCTATTAGTCATGGGGCTTGGTGGTCTGTTGTCAGCTGAGATAAATAATGGGTGCTGTTGTTTTAGAGCATCCTGAGGTCTTCAGTGGATGTTTCAATAACTACTTTGGCCAGCAGTGCCATTTGTCTGTGGATTTAACACAATGCACCCCATTACCAAACATTTTCTCTAAAGGATTTTTTTGTGTGTTGGCCATTCATTCACATAAAGCCTAGCAAACTAAAAACCGTTAACTGGTGGTAATAATGGTAGTAGAAAATATATTTTCAATGTAATACTTAGATGAGAGAAAATAGACGCTAATCACTGCTCCCTCTTTATACCAACATGTAAGAAAAGTTTTTTTAGTTTTTAATGTTTAAAATAAATCACAATGTATTTTATAGTTCTACCCCAGGATTTCTTGAATATTGTAGTCCTATTTTATATACTATAGTGTACAATACACTAAAATATTACTGTAATTTTGTAATATTTTAATAGTCTTTGCAAACTGACCTTACCATTGTATTTTCTGATATAAAAAACAGTTTTTCTATTAAAAAAAGAGCTACAGTATGTTTTAACATACTTTAAAGGAAGACATTTTAATGGTTCCTTATTTAACTGGTGTGATCTACTTTGTCAAGAACACATTTAGAATACGTGACTTTTATGTTTAGATGCAAAAATTGCTCTTGTATTACATGTCAGTGGGATTGTGTTTCCATGCAGTATTGTGATTATTACTTGTCTTTAAGTTATGTTGATGTTCATATTAATTGTTTTGTTATGAGTAGAGATTTCAGGTTAAGTGAGGTGCTGGTAGCAGCAAGTCAAATTAGAAATATATTGGTAGAGAGTGATTCATAAAGAATAATTGGCAGTGTGCATGAGCGGCATTATAATAGGGATGATACAATATGGGAAGACAGTGGATTTAATGGGAATGGAACCTCAACATGTTTATCAGATAATAGGCAATACACTGTATATTCTGCTTATATATTAGTCATTCCATGTATTCTTAACAAAATCCAGGAAAACTCCCACACCTAGATTTTTATCGTTTTATATTTTTTGTAGCGTAAAATATAAGACAAGTATGAAACTAGATAAAAAAATGTACAGTAACACCAACTATTAATATTTGCTGAGATACAAATCATATTTTTTGTAAAAGTATTGTCTTTACACCTTAGCACAAGAAGGTAACTTCTTATCCTCCCCTTTATGACCAGTTTTCAGAAAAGGAAGCACAGCAATGAAAATAAAACTACAGAAATTTTAAAAGACAGTAACTTAGAGCTGTTATACGACTGGGAAGAACATATCACAGATGACCTTCTTGAATCCTTTTCAGCATGTCGAATATTCTCCTAGAGACATTTCCATTTTCTGACCTGCACGTAGGTGAAGCTCTCTGGCAGAGAATGGTCTATACAGGAACACAGGTCTCTTAAGTTATACATTCATAGCTATCCTGGTCCTTTAGCAATTTTTATGAAAGCCATTAAAGCATATTTTTCTCTGTTCCTCTCAAAGGAACGGTCCACCATCACTTAAGAACAATTGAATAAGGGCAAAATGCCATATGACAAAAACTAAAATAACATAACCATGTACACACTTCATTTTGCATCTCAGAACAATGACAAAGGTGATGCTATCCACGGTTTCTTAAAAGGTGTCAGCACTTTATTCAATGATCATATGAAATCACTTCAGAAATGCACACTGGGAATATATTTCTGAGCTCTCATCTACAGCATACCAAGTGGGATACTTATATTGTATCATCAACTCTAAGGATTGGCTTTTGCGCTGAATTAAATTGTTGTACTTGTGTTACTATGCCTCCATTCTACTATCATCATACAGCAGCAATCCTTCTAAACATTCTTTATTCAATTATGGTAATTTCTTTCAATCTAAATGAGCATGTTAAACCTATATTCTTATACCTCTCCCGTGTATTAATGGTAAGGATTGCCTCTGATCTTTAGAAGTCATTTATTTAAAAGACATATATGACCCAATTTGTTTTATCACTGGCTTTCATAACATCATTATCTACCAAGATCTCCTAATGGCACTCTTTTTCCAGAATGCTCATACGTATATTTTGAAACTCATCTTATTAATTGTTCTGTTCAGTGTTGGGAGAATTATTATGGTTATTGCTTTATTCAGAAGGAAATTTCAATTTAAATATAAAAAATCAAATGATGCAGCTGTGGAAAAAAAGAAGTGAATTGCAGTTCAGCATTATGTATGAAATCATTTTTTCCTCTGAGGGTCTAATTGTAGAAACTGTGCCTGTGTGAGCAATTGCCTTGTTAGCAGAATAGTAATAGCAGAAGGTTAAGGATCATACATGTTCAATACTGCTTTGTTATATTCTATTTGGCTTGTGAGAAAGGTTGCAAGATCCCAGACATCAGGAGTTATGCACAAACAGTATCAGCAGAAACCTAGTGCACATTCCCTTCTGCTATATACCGCATGACAGCTACAGGTTTATTGAAATAATACATTGGAAAAATTGTTCACAGAACAAGACCAAAAGAAAAAACAATTTTATAACATAACTTCATATTAGTTTTTAGTCCGTTGTTTTAATTTCACACTACATTTTCACCTTCAGGTGTTCCAATAGTCTGTATTGTGATCAGAGCAGAAAATAAAAAAATGCAATACTGGATAAAATCTAGTATTGCTCAGTTTGAAGTGCAGTTACACAAAAATATTTTTTCAGAGTATTTTTGAACCCACACACCTGCAGACTTAAGAACACACAGCTCACTTAGCTGCAAGTGTGATTGTACAGGCTGAAGCTTAATGAAATAGATTGACAGTAGACTTTTAAAGGCTTTGTTTTCGATGTCAGTAGAAGAGTTGGAGATTGAAAGGTTTTGAGCTTATTAAATGTGTTGTAATTTAAAAAAAATAGAAGCCTTTGTTTGAAGTGGTTTTACTTGAAAATGTGATGTTTTGAGAGGAATTATAAGAAAAACATTTGCTTTACACATTTTGTTTAATGCAGTTGAAGCATTGAATATGTAATTAAAGATTAAAGCAGTGATTGACCAATTGTAGTGTTCCCAATTTCAAAAGAAATGTAGAGAAATTTATTTTTAAAAAAGTAGGCTTTCATTTAACGTTCTTAAGATGGTATGCATTTTGATAGTGCAGTATCCTTAGTTTCTCCAAATGGCTTTAAATATTACTTTTCGTAACATACTCATTTTAGCCTAACGAGAATTTTTTCTAAAACGTTTGATTAGAGACACACAATAGTATTTACAAGTACCATAGGTTTGCAAAACAAAAAAAAAATTGCTCAGAATTAAGGGATTGTGACTTTGAATTATCACAACTGGTGTAGGCACTATAAAGCAACAATAATCTCCATACTCACTTTCACAGTTGATTGCCACCAGCCCCATTTATTAGTCATAGGTTCCAGTCAAGAGGGCTGAGAGCTGCAATTCATAAACACACATTACAAACTTCCATGTTGGATGGTAATCAATGAAGGTGATTTAAAGGATTGACTATGAATACAAACAATTCTACTCAGTCCTCTATCAGTAGCTCCCCAGGGCATGTGTTGAATAATTCATATTTTGTCCATGCAGTAACACCCTTAGACCGCTAGGCTAGAATGAAACTGAAAGTGATAGGAAACTTACTACTGATTGTTTATACAGCGTCGTGAATACCAAGACAGTTTGGACAACAATTACTAAAATACTGTCCAAGAGTAATTTAATCTTTTTAAATCCCTCAGACAAGGATGACAAGGCTTGTCTGAGGGATTTAACAAGGCTTAAGGAAGATAATACTAACATGTCATAGATAAACATACAAACATTTCTAAACCCAATTCCATAAAACAAAATATTAACTTTGAAACATTTCCTCACTATTTGAAAAGTTATTTCATCCACAGACATAATTCCAAACTCTGCAATTTCTACTCTGTTAATGTATATCTTATTTGAGAAACATAAGAACATACAAAAAGTTACAAATGAGAGGCCATTTGGCCCATCTCACTTGTTCTCTTGCTAGTAGCTAGGCAATGCAAGGAACTCATCCTGCCATTTCTTAAAAGACATCAGGCTGTCAGCTCAACAACATGGCTCAGCAGCTTGTTCCAATTCCCTTAATTCTCCCGCTGGATTCTTATGCACACATCACTTTAAATAAAATCTGCTATAAACCATTTACGATTCTGATGACATGGTGTGCTGGTCTTGATCGATCAAGGCATATCACTGCGGTACATGCATCCAGGTTCTTTTTAAACAGAGATGTGCAATTGCTTTCAGAAGCAGTAAGGGATTAGACCACTCTTTTTGGACCCATTTGGTTTTTGAATCCACCATCCAATAATAGCATCCCCTGTCCTAATTTTAGTTAAACTGAAGACATCCCATAAGAATATTACACTAATATTCCTAACATTTTCTGGCACTAAATCTGTGGTATGTCTGCTCTTCTTAAACCTTGGAATATTGTTCAATATGTGACTGTATTTCAGTTTCTTGCAAAAAACATTATTACATAAAATTATGTAAATTATTTAGATTTTCTGTGTTTGTGTTATAATAAGTAAAAAATATTTGCATACATTATGAGGCGGGTGTATAAGGAACACAGATTAAGTCACAGATAGAGTTAAGATAACACAAATTGTTCTTCAAATCTTACATAATTCAACAAAGTATATACAGTAGTTTCAGCCTATTGTTTTTACTACTTACATCTTGCTATTTAATCCGACAGTAAATGAAATTAAGTCATGTGCATTACAAAGCTAACACATCATCTAATAAAAAGTTATTAATGCAATATTAATACGAGTATGTTGCTGTGTATTATTTTGCTTTATGTTTCTGTTACATGTTTATAGCAATATCTTTGAGTTCAACACATATTTCTAATAAAATATCATAACAAATGGAAGGTCTGATCAAAGTTAAAAAAAATTCTCTCTGGAAAAACTTTCTTTAAACATTATTAAAAATGAAAACAAATTACCATAAATATATATAATAGCTTATTACAAAATGACTAAACATAGATGTTATCCTTTTTATTCTTCATTTTATATACAGTACATTACCTTATTTCATATATTTGTTAAAAATCTCAAAATATAACTCTTTATTTCCTAGATGGCGAGCACCAATAGAAACCAATGGCATTCTGGAGTACTATACATTATACCTCTCTACCACAGAACAGAAATTCTCAGTGGTGTACAACAGCTCAGAACTCTTTGAAGATTACACTGTGCGCCACCTGTTCCCAGGCACCTGGTACTACTTTCAACTTGCTGTACGTATCATTAATATACTTTGTATTGTGTATCTCTAAGTCACCTCTGAAGGGTCTTATGTAGGTTTTGACACAGAAAACTAAACATGGTACACAGAAATAATGTGAGGATAAATAAAAAGTTTAATTGTTTATCTGTTGAAATCTGAATTTCCAAATTATTTTAATACTAACAATAATTAGTGATTTGTTGAACTGTTTGTTCTTCTGCATGTTTGATACGTTATTTTCATCCTGCACCTTATGTGCAGTGCATGCCCATCTTGTGTCTTTCACTGTAATGCTCACAAACACTGTCTCTCCCATGGATTAAAGATACTATAAATAAAATATTTTGATACCTCTTTGAACATGTCTGCTCTTTTGAAGGCATGCACTGGCGGAGGATGCAGGCTGAGTAGTCCTAGCATGGCCAGAACAGAGGAGAGCACACCTGAAAATGTCCCAGCCCCCAGTGTGCAGTCCTTCTCCTCTGATTCTTTCAACATTTCCTGGACAGAGCCGAAGCAGCCCAATGGTAAGTGAACTCTTTTAGCCTCCAGTTCAACACATGATTAGTAAAGGTAAATTAATATTCTAAATGGCAGCTTATGCGTGGTACTTAATTTTTAATGATCATTTTAGCACATAAAATCCTTCAGATAGCACCACTTTGTCTGCAGCTAAAAGACTGGGGTCTGAAGGATGTTTTTTTTTTAAGTGGATAAAAAGTGCTCCCTTTTGACTGATGCTGTGAACTGCAGCTAGATGTTCCCACTGTCCATTACAACAGTGGGGATTGCTCTATCGGAAGTCTTTCCTTTTTTAATTTGAGCAGACAAGGAAAATGAAAAGATTAAAGTTACATTATTCAGTGGAAAGACCTAAGTATTGTGCTGTTTTTTTTCCTCAGATATTTTTCATTAATATCTGAAACTGCAGTAAATTATTTTAATGAGTAGAATCATGGTGTAAAATATATTTTTTGAACGTAAACATTACAATAACAATGTTGCCAACAGTTGTCTCAGACTGGACATAGGTTAACTGTCAAATAACATTTAGTTTTTAGAAGAAGATTTATTATATGCAAAGTTTATATACAATACTAATAAACATTTAATATGGCATTTGTTTTCAATGTCATTTTTAGAGGTTGAAACACATTTACAGTAATGGTTCTGGTTTAATTAGACTGGGAATAGCTTTTCATTGATGGTCTGGAGATGCTTATGATGCTTCTTTTCAATTTCACTTTCTGATGAGAGCTTTGTTTTCTGTACGTTCAATGTGCTATAAATGTTTACACAACTCTACAACATAAAAATTGACTTTCCATTACTGGAAAAATCATTCAATTTACTCTGAGAAAACCTAGTTTAAAGTATTAATATTTTTCATGTTGCAGTTCCTAATTAATCATATTACACTGCCAACCCATCAGCAAAATTTACAAGACGTCCAACAAAATCATCAGTTTTAGATTCTAGTTTGGTAGAATTATTTCAGTTTCATTGCTTCTAGGTTAATTTTGTAATTAGTGGGTTTTTCAAAAGGGTAGGCATATTGTGGAATGCAAGAAGACTCAAAACTTACATACTATATTCTCTAAAGCAATGTATTTGTATTTTGTTTATATTTTGTATAAATGTACAGTAAATATATACCTGCTGATTGAGATATTTAGTTAGTTGTTTAAGCATGTATTACTCAGTTGAGATGTCTAAATTATTTCTTATTGGGAATTTAGTTTTCCAAATGTATCTTTGTGTTGAATAGAATATGAACTACCCAGAATGTCACAAAACTTCCTGACTTTATCTGTCCTCATCTATGTATCAATCTTATGTAACTAGCCTATTTCCATTTTTATCTTTGTTCTGTGAGTGGCAATATAAAGGCTTGTTGGCCTTCTAAACCTGTAATTTCTTTCTTTCTCTGTTCTCCTTATACTAAGAGCATGTATCTATACTTATTTTTGTCATATGTAGGATCCGGTTTTGTATTCATGCATTAGCACATGGAAGTATACATTTCAAAATTGTATGTAGCAAATAATAAATAATTTTTGGAAAGAAACTTTAAACCAAGACAATATTTAACAAGTATACATTTCCCATGGATATTGAAATAAATAGAATGAAGCTAAACAAAATCAGCATTTGTAATTGTTTAGGTCAATTCAAATAATCAAAATGAGAAGACAGAAATAAGATGAACTATAATCATAGTGTAGCTGCACAAACTCTAGTAGTTTATCACCATCACCATTGACTTTTGTCCATTGAACCCTTACCCTCTCTCACAGCATATTTTATGTGCAGCACTGTTTTTTTCTCTTTCTTGTCCAGCTTATGTTATTTTAGTGGGATTTAGTTTAGTTTATCTGCTTTTAGTCCTGTGTGTGATTTACCTTTAATACAAGCAGCTTTATTTTCCTTTAAATTCTCTATAAAATTAAAAGTATTAACGTTCATCAACATCCAAGCCTCAGTGGACACCTGCAGGCATCATGCCACAAAATAAGTTGTCAGATATCAAAACAGATGTTAATCATTTGGGAACGTAGGTTATTCATGACTCCTTCTGTCTATAAATGTCCCTATGCTCTTATACGTACTTAAGGTGCTTTAAGCACCATGGATCTTCTGTACCAGGGTATTGTTATGAAATCGGAGTATACAGTACCTTTCATAAACAATATCTTACTTTTCTGTGTGATAGCTTACCTTAATGTTTTCATCAAACGGGATTGATACTGAACGGGGCTGAAACCTCTGATATATGCAAATGCATCAATGACTGCCGAAACACTTCTATGGGAAGTGCCATCTTCAGATTTTATAATATTATCTTGATGCAATGAAAAACCAATAAGGTCTCAGCCTAGGCACTGATTTCATCTATGAACCTATGGCACAGTGTCATTTTAATTCCCTAGCTCTATTCCTAAAATGTTAATTCAACATGAGAAGGAGTTGAGCAACTAAGAAAATGGAGCTGCATGCTTCAAAAAGTTCTCTTTTAATACTATATGCCGCCTTTTTGGAGTTCCATTTCCCTGAATCAACATGAGGAACATCCAAAGATAACATTGTAATGTGCCTCTGTGCCTCAATCTGCAAACTAAATTAAGTAGACGTGCTCCCAAATTAATGTGCTTGAAGAAAAGTTGTACTGTAGATCAGTAATGGGTTACATGTTAAGGGCTTTCTGGAGGAACCTAATAAGAAAGTAAAAAAAATTAAAAGGGATATTTTAGCTTAAGAAGACCTTTAAACTTTCTGTCCAGAAACATGATTACAAATTGTTAAATGATAGTCTAGCAAAATTATATTGTCTAAGATTTTTTTTACTTTTATGCTAATCATAGTAATAAAAGTTAAATAAGAGTAACATATTTGTACATTCAAAAAAGGACACTTTTTTCCCATCGAGAGTACCAGTATCTGTTAAATTGGGTTTTATTAATGCTATATAATTTATTATATATTAATTATAAAACAATATATCTTGTTTGCCACAGAGATGTAAATTCCAGGTCTGCGTATCAAGCACACAGTTTCCTATTCTTCTCTGCAACATCCAAAACATAGGAATTTTGTCTTTAGTGCAGCAGTGAATACTGTGCACAGTACAGGATCAGATGACACACTGTAGGACACATTAGGATTGTGGCTCATCCAGGGGTGGAGGCTTTGTAAAAATTGAAAAATTTGTTCAGAACAAAAACTGAATGGGGCACCAAACAAGACAAGTATACAATTATAATCAGCACAGTCTCTCAAGTAAACATTCTCTTAATTTTAAGAAATATTTGCTTTGAAAATCTTTTGGTAAAAAAAGAATGGACAAATCCCAGATGTTATAAGATGTTTGAAAATTCCTCTCTGGATGGATATTTAAGGACCACAGTGGATGACATGTCTGGGAAAATATGGATGTATGATAGCCCTAATAAAATGGGATTCTCATTTCAAATTCTAAATTGTATTTTACAATAACTAAATTATATTTGCAGGTAAATTATTTCTGACTCCTTGTGGGTCACTGCATTTCTAGCCTAAATATAACCCTATTTTTATCATTAAAAAGCTGAACTGTATTTGCTATACTCATAAAGCCTTAGGAGCTGTTTACATGATTTATAGCACTCTATTCTAATGGAGAGCTTTAATAGTTTGCCTAGAACTAAACTGCCAGCTCACATTTTAAAATCTGTCTAAAAACAAATGGGGTTAGTTTGTTACAACTGGCAAGTGTTTTTGGAAGTTGATGGGTATTGGTGCTGTGTTGTGTATACAATATCATAAACTTCTAGTGTGGATATTTTCTTTATTGTAATATTTTAAAAAGATCAGTCAAATGTTCTTTAAAGTAAAATGTATTAATAATAATTTAACTAATATAATATAAAATATAGATCAATATGTGCCTTCTAAAACCAAATATATAATTTGTCCCGTAAGTCCGACAGGATGAACCGTAGAATGGCTGGAGAGTGATAAAGACCCTATGTGTATCAGCGAGACGGGGGTTAGCCCGGGCTCAGCTGTTCAGAAGAAGCCGTAAAGAAACCTATGCCCTCAGGCCAAGGACAGGAGTGACCTGGTGCTAGGCGGGTCTCAGGGCAACTGAACAACAATGCTGAGCAAGGAGCAGAGAAGAAGCAGGAAATAAATAGGCTACACAACAAGACACACCAGAAAGACATGAATAATCACAGGGAACTAGGAACAGAAGGAACGTAGAGCGCCCTCTAGGTGTAATGAGCGTGACAGTACCCCCCCCCCCCCTTCACGGGCGGCTCCTGATGCCCAAAAAAGAGCTGCACAACGCTGGGGGGAGGAAAAACCTCATTTAACTTAAAGGAAACCTTCGGGAGTCCACGGCTGAGAGCTACACCCTCCTCCAAGGTATAAACCTTTATTGAGTAGAGGAAGGGGGGGCTGAAACGGAACTCCAGAGGAGCAAAACAAAAAACCAGACCGAACAAACAAACAAAAATCACAAACAAAATTAAACCCTGACGGAACAGGGGAACAATTAACACATAAGGGCATGGGAGCCCGGAGCCAGGGAGACCAGAAGGCATTGGAGCCCGGAGCCAGGGAGACCAGAGGGCATGGGAGCCCGGAACACGGAAGCAGCAGGGGGCGTGGGAGCCCGGAACACAGAAGCAGCAGGGGGCATGGGAGCCCGGGACACAGAAGCAGCAGGGGACGTGGGAGCCCGGGACACAGAAGCAGCAGGGGGCGTGGGAGCCCGGGACAGTGACAGCAGTAGAGGGCGTGGGAGCCTGGGACAGTGACAGCAGTAGAGGGCGTGGGAGCCTGGGACAGCGAGAGTAGGAGAGGGTGTGGGAACCTGGGACAAAGGCAAAATACGCAACGAGTATAAACCCTGATGGAACAGGGAAAACAAACAACACCTAAAAGAAATAACCCACAACAGATAGAGAAGAGCAGGGAGCACAGAGGCCTAGAACCAGGCATACAGATGTAGCGGCAATGCTTGTTAATAAGACAGAATTAAGCGTTGGTATGCT